CATCTCTGCTCCCTTGTCACAAACCACTTTGTGGAGATCTTATGTGAGAGGACATAAGAAAGGAAGGTGGTCACTCCGCATCCTCTGGGCATATTGCTGTGCTGGTTTATTCATCGTCTAGCAATTTTCTACCCGTACATCCATTTCTGCTGCTCAGTGAACACTGTGTGGAGAGCCACCGATATTTATTTGCCTGTTAAAGGGACAGCAAGCTACAATTTATGGTCACCAAGCTGCACTTTGTCCACAGAGATGCTCTTCCTTGTTTACAGAATGAAAACAGAACATAATTCCCCAGGACGGAATGCTTTCCCGAGGCAGGGATCGAGTGGCAACATTTATCATGATTTTTAGAAAGGGGCTTAAGTTGGCGCAGCTGCCAGATTTGTAGTGCTCCCGTATTAGAGTTTTTAATCTTCCTCCTAATCTCCCTCAGCAATCCCAGGGAGCCAGGCCCGCATCCCGGTCTTGCATGCCTCGGTCTGAAGGAACAGTTATTCACTTCCTCTCCCCCACGTCGTCCTCGGCAGTGTCGAAAAGACAGGAGACATCTCTGCTTCCCCATCCCCAAGCCGCTGGACTCTGGTTAAATGAGCCATCTCACAGTTCGTTTGCTCTCCTGAAAGGCCTGATCCAGGAACAATGGCTTTTAGAAACGAATTCTCGCCAGTAGTTGGTTCCCGTATAACTGTTTCCTGAAATGCTTCAGACATTTGCCATAATTACCCAGCAGGATCATAGAGGATTCTTCTCTGGCTCATGGAGCATCAGAGAATAAGGGTCTACACTTGCACCCTCTTTTGAGAGAGGGATGCAAATGAAGAGATTCAAAATTGCAAATGAAGCCAGGATTTAAATATCCCAGGCGTCATTTGCATATTTGTGTTACGGTGCTATTTCAAAATAAGACACTGTTAAGACGCGGTTATTTCATGAGAAAACCCTTCTATCGAAATAACCCTTATTCCTCATACAATGAGGTTTACCAGTTATTTCAAGAGAAGAGTTTTCTCTCGAAATACCCGCGACTTAATAGCGTCTGTTATTTCGAAATAGCGCCATAAAGCTAATATGCAAATGAAGCATGGGATATTTAAATCCCAGCTTCATTTGCAATTTTTAATCTCTTCATTTGCATCCCTCTTTCGAAAGAGGGTGCAAGTGTAGACATACCCATAGTGTATAACCTAGAACTGACCATTTTAATCAGATCGCTAGAGGAAGCTCACTCATATGGCTGAAGGGACCATGACACCTTGGCTGAATGGTTCTTTATCTGGCCATTTTGATCTAAGTGCCAGTGACATGATAATATCGTCCTCTTCTCTAGCAGCCCTTTAAAAATTCTTATTCTGAAATCTTATCACAAGAGGTAGGCCCAGCTAGCGGCACCTTACACTCACTCCCTAATTGTGCTTCATTGTGGGGAAATATGTCAAGTGCATATCAGGGTTAGGGATGTTAGAGTGTAACTAAATAATCATTTAACCAATATGCTGCTGCTTATTGGTTAATGGTATCGGTTACACTCAGTGGGGGAGGCGGCTTTGATGCAACAGGGCACCGAAGCCACTTTCCTGGGAGCTGTGTGTAACCATGCTGAGATTTTCAGCCATTACACGGTTACCTAGTTAACCAAATTGTAACATCCCAGTCAGAGTACAGAGCACCACCTGTGCCTAGAAATTAAACAGCCTTTAATAACCCATCTGCTTAAGGAATAATCAGCGATTGAATTTTCACCTGATCTCAAAAATCTCAACCATCTTTAATAAGCACTGTGCTCACAAACAGCTGTGTTAAAGGTGATCAGTGTCTTTCTAATGACCCCTAGTGCAGAATCACTGACTACTGATTGGGGATCTCAGCAGCATTCAACCCAGTGGAGATTGACAGCCTCATATTAGTTAGAACCTGCCTTTGGTTCCACAGGGCAGTTTAAATCTCACTTATCTTTATTCATAGCTTTACACTGCCGAGCCCGCAGCATGTAACCACTGAGATTTTCAACCGTTACACAGTTACACTCATACACGATTGTTAACATCCCTAGTCGGAGCAGTCATGAACCTTTTCCTGATTGCTGTCATACCATGTATGCCATATCTGGGGTCTGGTCTGTTCTGCGCCAGTAGCTTCCCCTAGATCAGCCCTTTGAAGATACAAGCTGTTAATCGGGATTTGCTGACACGATTCTGAACAAAGAGTATTCGGAACAGCAGGGACTTATGAACCAAAGTCCAATGAACTGGTATAACGGGTCGCTTCGTAGAAGCCCCTCGGGTTACTGACTGCTGATGGAATGTAGAAGTCACACTGAAAGGAAGAGGAGAATCTGGAGCGGGACATGCCAACAAAAGCACCGTCGATGGCGGTGGGGAAAAAGAGTTGTTCTTAGGCGCGGTGACTGTTCTCTCCTTTCTGTGTGTACAGCTCCTAGCACACCATCAATCCTTCTGTAGCTGAGGGAGGGAGTACTGGCCTATTCTGTGTGTACAGCTCCTAGCACACCATCGATCCTTCTGTAGCTGGGGGAGGGGGTACTGGGCTAAATCTCTCCTTTGGCATGGTCCTTCCATCAGGGTCGTAACCAGGGCAGGGCAGCTGTCCAGGGCACACAGCCATGTGGGCAGAGGAGTGACAATGGAAAACACTAGGAGGCACAATGATGCTTGCCTGCCCTGGGCGCTAAAATGCCCAGTTACGGTGCTGCCGTCCGTAATGGTGGTCCGTTCACAGGAGCCGAGTGGCTTTTTCGCTGGGGCTTTCAAGGCTGCTCTCCCTGTGGGGGGAGTCTAATGCTGTGAAACTCCTCTGTTGATAGCGTGAATGGAGACGTCCGATTCTTCGACCCCCGGATGCCAGAGTCCGTGAAGGTCCTTCAGATAGTCAAAGGGCTGACGGCCCTGGACATTCACCCGCAGGCCAGTCTGTTTGCATGGTAGGTTCTGACCCCACCCCACCTCCTCTGGGCAGCAAAGAGAAGAAGAAATCCAGCGTTACAAACCCCTTTCGTCTCTCTTTTTTCCCCTTTGCTATGACCAGTGTGGTGTCATTCCCATGTGTGCAGTTCAGGTATTTTAACCCTTTCATGTGTTGTTGAAACCTTTGCACTGGTGACACACAGTGATGGTGCAGGGTTTGCCAGTTGTCAGTGTGTCCGACTCCCTCCACTCAAAGGCAGCAGGTGTGTGGCTGGCTGGGGAGGGGCCTCGGCATCCTCTTCACAATCGCGGTGCCGTGGTAGCTGCGGGAGACTCACCTCAGGTGAACTTGTACTTCTACTGTCTGTATATATTTTCCGTCTTTGAATGTACAGCGTAACCGGTAACTCCTCCGTTTGAGCCTGTCTGTAAATCTCTCTGTGCTGAGGCTGCAGCAGCGTGGATTAAAACCAATCTCTCTGCTTATAAGAACTTGTGGGAGACACTTTTGCTTTATAAATGACTCCTGCCTCAGTAGCCAAGCGGTAGTGAGTAGAAAACCCTTTATGTAGATATCAGTCGTATTGCCAGAATGAGGTGAGTACGTTCTGTTCTCTCGTCCCTTCCAGTGGCTCGATGAACCAGTTCACTGCAATCTACAATGGCAATGGAGAACTGATCAACAATATCAAATACTATGATGGATTTATGGGACAGAGAGTCGGAGCCATCAGCTGCCTGGCTTTCCATCCTCACTGGGTCTGTATTTTCTTTTTAAACTCTAGGGGGGGGGCGTTTTTTGCAGTTGTGAGTGTCTGTGAAAAAGGGGTCGGTCACAATGTCTAAAGTGCTCTACCTGCAACGTAGCTGCTTCAGGTGCCTTCCCTGCACCCTGCTCCCAGTGCATCGCGATCCTGTTCCATCAGCCACACGTGCTATTCTGAGGTGCAGCAATGTCCACAAAGGGCTAGAGCAGGACTCCAAACTTCTGAGCGACTTCCGCTCGCTGGTTGACTTGCTGATCTGGTAGTTGCCCATTTTTTCACTTTACTTTGGAATTGCCTTTTCATTTTGTGTTTCCCTCGTGGCAGTTTGTACCAGAGACATTCCGTAAGGTGGGTTAATTCAGCACCACCACCGGGTTCTCTATGGGGCCAGTGCTTTCCACCAGCACCCCCCCCCATGAAGCAAGCACCTCTGTATTCTGTGCCTCTTCCTCTAAAACAGATAGCATCACTGTCACGGCTGCTCCCCATTCTGGCACGTCAAGTGCAGAATGTGGGGGCCCGCAGAAGATTTTAAAATACCCTGCCACTAAGGGCTTCTGCTCAAAACACTTCCTAAGGTCACCAATTCCCTGTCCTTGGGTGGTACGCTGCCACCACCCACATGCAAAACCCTCTTTGACAGCCCAGGAAGATGCACTTGGGAATTTCTTCCTTTGGGATACCCCAAACTCTTTAACCCTCCCTCGGGACTGCCGTGGTAGCTGCGGGAGACTCACCTCAGGTGAACTTGTACTTCTACTGTCTGTATATATTTTCCGTCTTTGAATGTACAGCGTAACCGGTAAATCCTCCGTTTGAGCCTGTCTGTAAATCTCTCTGTGCTGAGGCTGCAGCAGCGTGGATTAAAACCAATCTCTCTGCTTATAAGAACTTGTGGGAGACACTTTTGCTTTATAAATGACTCCTGCCTCAGTAGCCAAGCGGTAGTGAGTAGAAAACCCTTTATGTAGATATCAGTCGTATTGCCAGAATGAGGTGAGTACGTTCTGTTCTCTCGTCCCTTCCAGTGGCTCGATGAACCAGTTCACTGCAATCTACAATGGCAATGGAGAACTGATCAACAATATCAAATACTATGATGGATTTATGGGACAGAGAGTCGGAGCCATCAGCTGCCTGGCTTTCCATCCTCACTGGGTCTGTATTTTCTTTTTAAACTCTAGGGGGGGGGCGTTTTTTGCAGTTGTGAGTGTCTGTGAAAAAGGGGTCGGTCACAATGTCCGAAGTGCCCTACCTGCAACGTAGCTGCTTCAGGTGCCTTCCCTGCACCCTGCTCCCAGTGCATCGCGATCCTGTTCCATCAGCCACACGTGCTATTCTGAGGTGCAGCAATGTCCACAAAGGGCTAGAGCAGGACTCCAAACTTCTGAGCGACTTCCGCTCGCTGGTTGACTTGCTGATCTGGTAGTTGCCCATTTTTTCACTTTACTTTGGAATTGCCTTTTCATTTTGTGTTTCCCTCGTGGCAGTTTGTGCCAGAGACATTCCATAAGGTGGGTTAATTCAGCACCACCACCGGGTTCTCTATGGGGCCAGTGCTTTCCACCAGCACCCCCCCCCATGAAGCAAGCACCTCTGTATTCTGTGCCTCTTCCTCTAAAACAGATAGCATCACTGTCACGGCTGCTCCCCATTCTGGCACGTCAAGTGCAGAATGTGGGGGCCCGCAGAAGATTTTAAAATACCCTGCCACTAAGGGCTTCTGCTCAAAACACTTCCTAAGGTCACCAATTCCCTGTCCTTGGGTGGTACGCTGCCACCACCCACATGCAAAACCCTCTTTGACAGCCCAGGAAGATGCACTTGGGAATTTCTTCCTTTGGGATACCCCAAACTCTTTAACCCTCCCTCGGGACAGTTTGAAAACAAACTGTAATTCCTAATAGCTGACCTTTCAGTCCCAGGCACGTGCACACAGAATCTCCTGCCTTCTAGGACACAGGAATCAGATGATAGCCTTAAGAGAGGTGATTTTATTAATAAAACAAAGAGGGCAGACTTGGTAAAGCTTACTTGATTGCTAGATGTTATGGAGCAACTGAAAAAAAAGCAGATTAAAAGCACAGAGAATTGTTTCCCTGGGATTCAATTGATTCCCAGAAGGTACCTGGGCACAGCACAGGGGATCCCACTAATAAAGGAAATCATTTGATTGTGTCTAACTAAACATTCCCTGATTACTCACATATCTGTTGTTCCAAGGTTTAGTCGTTCCTTTAGGCATGGATAATGTGGGAAATCACAGGCCTTATTCTTGGCTCAGGCCATCTCTCCCGACTCATACAAAAGACTGCAGCAGGCAAATCACTGCTTCAATTCAAATCTCACACACTCTCTTTCCCCATTGGCTCTCCTGGCTCCCTGCCAACACTTCCTGGAGACCTACTGTCCCTGAGTTTAATCCTTGCTGGTAATTTAGTTAACAGAATGGCTGGGATACCCAGAAAAGAGTAATGCCCCTCCCATTCATCACAGTTCCCAAATGCTTTGGAATCAGCTGCTCTCTCAGCAATGCAGATGGAGCCCTCCTTACCACCATATAATACCATGAATGTGCATGGCGCTGTGCAGTAGCAAAAAAACTGCTAAAAAAATAAAAGTTCCTGCACAATCTAAAAACATTAGCTGTTAAAATTCAGAACCAGACAAGGTGGTGAGAGGGGTCTTGCAGTGGGAATGGGGCTCCTCAGTAGTCTTTGGAAGGAGGGGAAGGAGGGTGGCTGGCAGTTGTTTAATTAGGAGGAGTTGCATATTTGCATATGTCTGGAGATGGAAGAAAGTGGGGAGGGGTGGATGGGGTAGCGTAAAGTACCTAGGCTGGGGCTAGGGAACAGGTGATGGTTAAAGGAGCCATGAAAGGGGGCAGATCCATGTTAAAACCTCAACAGACACAAGTCATTTACGTTTGAGGGGAAGGAGAGCAGCAAGTAATGAAGGTCCTGAAGACGCGGGGAGCACTTCCTAAGGTCACCAATTCCCTGTCCTTGGGAGGTACGCTGCCACCACCCACATGCAAAACCCTCTTTGACAGCCCAGGAAGATGCACTTGGGAATTTCTTCCTTTGGGATAGAGCAAAGCAGTAAAGGGGAGCGTGTGCATCTCAGACAGCTGCACGCAGTCAAGCGCTTAATGATTTGCTGTCCTTGGACTTAGGGGGTGGGACAAGGGGATGCGCAATGGCAGTTCTGAACGTTTTGTCTCTCTCAAGCGAAGCAAACAAAGTAGCTCTCCGGTCCTGATCTCTTCCAAACCTGGAAGTGCTCCTGGGTTCCTGGACACACCGTGCGCTAGTGCTCAGTCCAAGGGGTTGTTTGTAACAACGTTTCTGGTCATTTAGAAGAATTATGCTAGAAGTTGGCAGCTAATGGCCACCATAATTTTTCCTTTGGCTGCAACAGTGACATCCGGCGTTCTGACAGATAGCCCAGGCCAGAGAGAAAAACATGGTCTGTTGTAGCTACCTTGGCAGACCCAGCTAGAAGTTCCCTTGGGCTTGGCCCGCTTTGCCCAGAACGCTGAGGCTCCGTGCCTGGACTGATTTGTATCTTGTAGCCTAAATTGCTTTGCCTGTTTCACTTGTTTGCTCTCCCTCCCGCAGCCACACCTGGCCGTTGGAAGCAATGACTACTACATCTCGGTGTACTCGGTGGAAAAGCGGATCAGATAACAGCAGCCTCATCGGAGAAAGGGAACGACCCAGCGGGCAGGGCCATGTCTCACCTGTAATGTATATAGTGGAATAATCGACTTGAATGTTTCGTGTTGGCTGCTGCTGCTGCAACCCATCACTTGAACAATACTTTTTTTCTTCTGACTTAGCTACTGATGATTTTGAGAGGTGGAAAGAGACAATCTCCTATTTTCTTTTTAGCCGTAACCCCTAAGAACGACGGCAAAGGAACGGCTTTCTCTTTTGCTTTCAGCGGTCACGTCTCTGTTACAAACACGGTTCCGCGGCTCCGAAGGGCTGGATGAGGCAATAGCTTTGCGAGGGGCTTTTTGTTTCAGTCTTTGTTCCTTTGTTTCATGGGGGTGGAGCTAACTTACGGCATGAAGTCCAGACTTGTCTCCAGCTCCGTGCTTTCTCACCCCCCTACTGACCCCTCCGCCTGCCACCTACCCTGTGCCAAAGAACAGCCTCTCTGGCAGGCAACAGGATCTCAGCTGGCTGCCTGGTGAATATCACACCTGGTCTTGAGTGATGGAGAGAAGAGAGACAGGAAATCCTCTCCTGGGCTCCCTCGCTCATGTTCCTTCTCCAGGGGAAGCACGGACAGAGCAAGCAGATGAACGTGCCTGGCAGCAAGGAGAGAGAGGGAAGGGGGTCGCAGGTGAGGAGAATAGCACCAAGGTGGAAAACTGACCTGCCATAAAGCTCCAGATCCAAACGAAGGTGAAACAAGGAAATGATCCATGTCCTTAGTGCCCTAAGGAAATTGGGTGGAGTCCCTGATGTAACTGCTTTCTGTGATTGGGCAGGTGTGTGTCTCGGTGCACTTGAGTGTGGTGGGAGACTCTCATTCCCTCCGTTGTTTCAGGGGTCCCTGTCCCTTTGCCTGCAGTACACCCCCAAAGCACACGAGATGTCCCGACAACTGCACAGACAGAGAGGGGTTCCTGGCTCGCTGTACCCCTGCCTTAAACCGCAAGCTTTCATTTCGCTCAGAAGTGCTAATATTCTGCTAGCTAATGGGCATGAATATGTTCTCCCCCGTGACTCTGTGCACCTACCTGTGCCCATGTGCGCTTGAATGCACCTTTGTCCATATTATGTATCCAGGCATGTCTGTGTGGCCCCAGGCACACACTCAGTGCATTGGCACGTCCACGTGTAGGCAGCCACGTGTATGTTCTGATCACAAGAGAATCGCTGCTGCCCTGGGGGGAGAGGAGCCCACAGCAGATCACTCCGCCTGGTGCGAGATGCTGTTGTCCCCAGTCTCGGGGAGACGCTGATACCCCGTCTGTAATGAAGATTCTAGTCCCATGGGATCCAGGATGTGTCTGGAGATTGATGTGGGGAAGGAGGCGGCAAATCTGAAGGGCCGATTTCCCCAGTAAAACTCTGTCTCGCTGCAAATCAACAGGCTGGGAAGAACAAAGCCCTGCCAGGTATCACGCTGATGCTAAGCGATCCAGTCTAGGCAAACTCTGTTCTAATTCTGGTCCCGTCGTTACTCGCAGGCCAACCGAGGTGCCGAAGACAATGACGATAGTGTCAATGAGAGAAGAAAAACCTTGTTGCTTAGTGTGAACAGCAGCTTCCCCTCCCGCACTGACCTCCTCTGGGTTTGTCTGACCCGGGGGCTGCGCAGGACGTGCCAGATGCTTTGGCGGTCGGAGATGCTCGTTCAACCAGGCAATGGCCTGGCATCGGAACTGGCCAGGGGTTTGTTCCAGGAAACACAGAAAATGCTGCTGACTGCAGATCGCCAAGTACTCCTTTTGCAGAGTGGCATGAGCTGTGGGGAGTGAGGCAGGTACCCCAACTGGGGCCTTCTCCCCACTCACAAGCACAACTGCAGTTTTCTGTGCCCTCCGGTGGACTGCGTGCTGCCTTGCGGGATGCCGAATCGATGGCTATGGAGGGAAATCCGGCTGTTGTACCTAAAACGCTGTGTGTTTCTAATATGTGGACTCCCAAAAGTTAGTGATGGGCTAATAAAAGGTTGTGGGCCTTGGTGGCCCATTGAGCTGCTGTTATACACAGGTTTACAGTCCCCAGTGGTACCCAGTGTCGACTCTCTGGCTACCATGCCCGTCACTCTGCGTAGGGCTCTGTGCTCAGGGAATGGCCAAGGACAGCTGTGCTGGCCAGGGGTGAGACAGAGGTTGGGATTAGCAGATCACTGACTAACATGCACTAGTTACAAACACCATCGATTTTTAACCTCGATCAGTGGATTTGTTCAAAGAGCAAGAGCTACCTGGCAAAACGCAAAGGGACGCTGTGGGAAGCTGCTTTGTCTTCCTTCCCAGCATCCCCTGAGCGCCCTGCCAGCCTGTGCAGCCAGGAATAAGGTTTTAAACTGACTCCACCTGTTGCGCTTTCATCGGAGGGTGCGCGTGTGTCTGGTCTCACAGGCCCGATGCAAACATTCAATCATGAAGTTTAACCAAGGCTCTGGAGAGCTTCCTACCTAAAAGTTCACTTCTCTCTATTTATTTTACAAAAATAAAAAAGCTATTAAAAATAAACTACAAGATTGTAATGTGAGAGTCAAATAAATATGAACAATAAATGGTTAATAAAATATAAATGCAGACACAGTCTATGGTCAGGTCGTTTTATTCTAATGATTGGAGGGAGGCAACGCTGCCGGCTCTTGAGAGCAGAAAAACAAGTCATGGCGGGTGAAAGGGGAAGTCAGAGGATTGCAGGACTGGAAGGGATCTCGATAAGTCGTCTAGTGCAGTCCCCTGCCCTGAGGCGAGATGAAGTATTATCTAGACCATCCCTGACAGGCGGTTGTCTAACTGGTTGTTAAAACATTTCCAGTGATGGAGAATCGATAATCTGCCTAGGTAATTTGTTCCAGCGCTTAACCACCCTGACAGGGAGTTTTTCCTGATGTCCAACCTAAATCTCCCTTGCTGCAATTTAAGCCCATTGCTTCTTGTCCTGTCCTCAGTGGTTAAGGAGAACCGTATCTCGCTCTCCTCTTACAGCTACATTTTACGTACTTAAACACTGTGTTCATGTCTCTCCCTCAGCCTTCCTTTCTCCAGACTTACATAAGCCCAGTGTTTTCAATCTTTCCTTGTAAGTCATGTTTTCCTTTTATCATTTGAATTACTCTCCTCTGGACTTTCTCCAGTTTGTCTACATCTTTCCTGGAGTGCGGGCCCAGAACTGGACACGATATTCCAGCCGAGGCCTTATCAGTGCTGATTGGAATGGAAGAATTCTTGTCTCTTCCGTACAACACTTCTGCTAATTTTTATAAAGGGGTGCCATATTTGCACGTTGGAATGGAAGAATTCTTGTCTCTTCCCTACAACACTCCTGCTAATTTTTATAGAGGGGTGCCATATTTGCGCGTTTCCAGTCCTCTGGGATTTCTCCCATCCTCCGTGAGTTCTCACGGATCATGCCTGATGGCTGAGTTCTCGTAAGCCAATTCCTTAAGTATTTTAGGGTGTATTTAATCACCCCTGTTTGACTTGAAGACATCTCACTTGTCTAAATAATTCTTTACTAGTTCATTGCCTGTTTAAACCTCATTTTGATCCTACCCCTTTACACTGATGTTCACTAGGTTAGTTGTCCGATCACTGCTAACTTTTTTGGTGAAAGCTGGAAGAAAAAAGGCATTTACCACTTCATTCCTTGCTGTTCTTTCTGTTGTCTTTCTCTCCTCATTGCATAACTGGCCTAGCCTGTCCCATGTCTTCCTCTTACTGCTCATGTATTCTTAAAATGTTTTCTTGTTACTTCTTTATCTCTCTAGCTACTTTGACCTTATTTTGTGCCTGAGCCTTTCTGATTTTGTCCCTACATACTTGTGGTGGGAGGGGTAGGTTGGTTTTTTTTTTCTTATTCGTCCTTTATCATTTGATCTAGTTTCCACTTCTTGGATGACTCCTTTTTTAAGTTCCAGGTCACTGAAGAATTCCTGGTTAAGCCAGCCTGACCTGTGACCACCACTTCTTCCTATTCTGGGTTCCAGTTCTAATTTTACAAATGGTTTGCTCTGTGGCCCCAGACAAGTCATTTTGTGCCTCAGTTTCCCCATCTACTAACTCAGGTAATTCAACTTTTGCGACCACAAGTGAAAGGCCCCATGTCATTTGCACTTGTACCATTGCTTATCGTTTTCCCATGAGCATGTAAGGAGGAGCCATCAGACCCTGTGCCTCCAGGCCCTTGGGGTTCTCTGTGTGGCGAAGGGAGGTCCTACCGCCTTCACCTGGGTGCTTCCCTGGCTTTTAGCATGTGGAGAGCTAGAGCGTGGCCTGTCTGGAAACCCCCTGCGCAGTAACCGGGCGCAACTCACCGCCGCGTCGCCTCCTGCTGGTCACTCAAGGAATCGGCTCTTCAGCCCTGGAGCGCCCCCTTCTGGCTGGTGTCTCGTCTGCTGTTACCCGTTTTCCTCCTCCACTGTATGCTAGGACCCGTGGCCCTGCCATAGGGCTCCCACCCTCTGGGGTCCTCCCCCTCAGGGAATCCCCAGCCCGCTACACCCACCTTGCCTCAGTGACCCTCCCGCCAGTCGTCCTCTAGCCCCTGCCTCAGGGTGTTCTGCAGTCTGACGTGGCCACTCAGCAAGGGGGTGGGGACCTGCTGCCTTCTCCTGTCCTGGCTGCCTCCCTAGCATCCCTCAGGCCCCTGGGTCTACTCAGGCTGGAGCTCCCCAGCTCACTCTGCCTTCCCCAGCACTGGTACCCTGGGCTAGACGGCAGCTGGGTCTTTCTCCCTCCAGGGCTGCAATGACAGCGTGTGCTGCCTGGCCAGCCCTCTCTTTTATACAGCCCTCCTGGCCTCTGAGTGGCTGGTGCAAGGCTTCTCATGATTGGCCCTCTCCTAGGGCTGTTTTAACCCTTTTTATGCCTGGAGCGGGGTGAGCACCCCACTACACACACCCCCAGCATGAGAGAGCCGAGGGGGATTATTGATGTCCCCTGCCTTGACGTGTGTGTGTGAGAGAGAGAGAGAGAGAGAGAAAGAGAGAGAGATTGTGTGTGTGTGTGTGTCCATCCGTCTGTCCCCACCGCAGGACGCTCCTCTGTGGCGCTTCTCCCCGGTCGAGGAGCAGCGAGCACCCCTGGGACCGATGTTCGGTGCTTGTGCGAGTTAAGTATAGGAAGCGCTCCAGCCCGGCTGGAACAGATTGTTTGACAGGCCTCCATCAAATGGATGGCTCACTGTGACACGTGGTGTCTGAGTGGGAGGTTGACAGGGATGGCTCAGAGCATGGCCACCCCGCTGGCCCCGGAAAGGCGACCCCTTTTTCCAGGGCCTGTCGCTATTTCCCACAGCCAGCATCAAAAGAAGCCCTTCCCAGTACAGTCAGAGCTTGGAGGCTCCCTTTGCTGGGAGGGGTTGGGTGGTTTGATCGTTATCAGCTCAGCCCCTGAAACAGCTTCTGGAGAGACTGTGGTTGGCGTGGGGGTGGGGAATTAATTCCCCGAGTCCAATGGCTTTGGCAGGACAGACAATGTGGCTGTCACGTTTTACTGCGTGGTCCGTGGTCTGGCAAGGTGCCACGCCGAATCCCGCGCACCTGTCTTCTGCCGGGGGGCTGGTTCTCTGTGTAGGCAATCGTCCAGCCGACCACGGGGGCTTGTCAGCGGCATGTGTGAACACAAAGGGTCTCTGTGAAATCCAGCCGCAATCAGAAATAGCTTAAGCAGCTGCAGACAGCGAGTGAAGAGGAATTGACAGTGTGGTTATCTGGGTGAAAACTGTTACTATAGTAACCCCAAAGGTGCAGTGTCTGTTGTGTGTTCTAATCCGTGGCGGTGACTCTCCTGCGTTATTGTTTATTAAACAAAACGTCTTTGCAGCCATAACATCTGCTGGGAGCACTCACTGTGGGAAAACAGCTGCCCTGGGAGCGCCTGGATTTCACCGTGCAGAGAGAGTGGCTCCCAGGAGCACGAGGGGCTGGATCATGCTGCCCAGGGACGGGCATACCCTGAGGAGTCCCCTCTTACACAGCTCTGCCGACACCCCTTGCTCCTGACCTGCATCCCCCCTGTACTCCAGCCCTGCGCGCCCACGTGCAGGCAGAGTTCTGTGCGGCCCGAGTCCTAGGGTTGCCAAAATACCGGACACACTTGACATTCCATCACAATCGACATTCCATCTGATTTAGAAAATACCCGACAGCTGTTTCCTCATTTCTATTTTCTCAATTTGTTTCCCGAACAGAGAGCTCAAATACTGGACCTGGCAACCCTGCTCAGTCCTGGTCTCTCTTGAGCAGCGGTTGCCATTTGCTCTTGTGACTTCCGCTTGGGATCTGCTTTTATCTGACCCAGCCTGGCTTTGGCGTCTGGAGCTTCCCAGAGCGCAGACGTGTTTTGTGGTGAGCAGTGTGCAGAGGGTGTCACTACCTGCAGAGTTCATGGGGGACAACTAAAATAGCTCTGAATCGTTGGCAGGCCTCTCCCTATTGGAGTCCCAGTGCAAGGGGTGATGCTTTCAGTGCAGGGCTGTGGGGGGCCATGCTTAACACCCTGCCTGTAGCATGAGGGAGTCTTGGCAGCAGCTCCAGTGTAACACTGGCCTTTCAGCTCCTCGCATGCTCCCCTCAAATCTCTGCCACTCCTGTCCTTGCCTGGCAGATAAACATTAGGTGCACCCCAACCTTCAACACCCCGTAGCCCCCCGGAGAGCATTCCTCTGCAGTCTCCGGCCCCCGTCACTGGACACTTGCAGAAGTTACCAAGTCTCCTGCCTCTAAAGAGACGGTGCACACGTCCGCCTGTTAGATCCATCAAGGATGGAGACCTTTCTTCACTATTACAGCTCTGGGGTGAATTTCTGATGCAACGCGTTGAAGTTGATTGCTAACGAACGGAGATGTAAGCAACTCTGAACTAGGATAATAGAAACAGTAAGGCTGTGTCTAGACTGGCCAGTTTTTCCGGAAAATCAGCCGTTTTTCTGGAAAAACTTGCCAGCTGTCTACACTGGCCACTTGAATTTCCGCAAAAGTACTGACTTCCTACTGTAAGAAATCAGTGCTTCTTGCGGAAATACGATGCTGCTCCCATTCGGGCAAAAGTCCTTTTTGCGCAAAACTTTTGCGCAAAGGGCCAATGTGAACAGCTGAGATTTGTTTTCTGCAAAAAAGCCCCGATCGCGAAAATGGCGATTGGGGTTTTTTTTGCGGAAAAGTGCGTCCGTGCCAATCTAGACGCTCTTTTCCGAAAATGCTTTTAACGGAAAACTTTTCCATTAAAAGCATATCCGGAAAATCATGCCAGTCTAGACGTAGCCTATATGGTTACAAATTAGATGAAGGTAAAATAGCCTTTCTAGTGACCGCAACTTGTCAGGCAATTTTCTTGCCGAACGCCTCCCCTCAGCATCACAAGCCACTCGGCCCTTGGCCGGAATCCAGCTTGCACAGGTGCAAAGAGCGTTGATCTGTCTGTTCCCTCAGAGGTGGAGAACCTCAGCGTCTTTTCCCCTCTTCTTATCGTCCCCTAAACTGGCAGAGTGCCCCCAGACAACGGTCCTCTCCCCCACTGGTGATTCATCAGGCTAGGGGTGCCACGTTGTCTCTGCTGTCTTCTTCCAATTCTATCCCTTCGCCTTT